TTCAACCGCATTAATTGATCAGACCAAACAGTTCTCGTTGAAACCTTCTGCAGCCAGGCCACCAAGATTGTACGGCTTGCCAAAGATACATAAAGAAGATACACCTCTTCGTCCCATTGTTTCTACTATCAACTCCCCCACTTACAAACTGGCTCGTTTTTTGTCCGAAATCCTACGGCCTTTCACTGGAAAAACCACCTCTGCAGTACTAAACTCTACTGACCTGGTATCGACAATCAAGGGGATTGCCCCGTCCCCAGACGACCTGCTTGTCAGTTTTGATGTGGTTTCCTTGTTCACCAAGGTGCCTGTGCCTGACACCATCGCAATCATTGAAGACTTGGTTCATCAAGGACTGAATGCTGGGGTACCCCCCCTGGTGAGACACTGCTTAACCAATACATACTTCACCTGGAATGGAACCTTCTACAAGCAAATTGAGGGCACCCCAATGGGCTCCCCCCTATCTCCGGTTGTAGCCAACATCTTCATGGAGAAATTTGAGACGGACGCCATCCAGACTGCCACTCTACGCCCGACCTTATGGAAGAGGTACATAGACGACACTTTTGTCATCTGGCCACATGGCCGGCCTGCTCTAGACCAATTTCTCGACCACATCAATTCCATACACCCAGCCATCAGATTCACCATGGAAGTCGAAAATGATGGCAAGCTACCCTTTTGGATGTCCTAATCAAAAGGAGACCTGATGGTTCAATGAGCCACTGTCTACAGGAAAGCCACCCACACGGATGCTTATCTAAAACCGGATTCCCACCACCATCCATCCCAGAAGAATTCCCTCATCAAGACTCTATATCATAGAGCCCAATGCATCTCCGACCATGAACACATTTCCAGTGAACTCAAACACGTACGCCAAGCTCTTAAGGCTAATGGTTACTCCGACTACACAATCCGCAAAGCCATCACTCCAACCATCAAGAAGGATCCTGTTGAGGAGCCTTTCAAGACCATCACCTTACCCTACATTGCTGGGGTCACAAAAAAGATCTCCAAAATCCTGATTAAACACAAGATCCAGGTCCGATTCAACACAGTACATAAAATCCGTGATCTGGTCCCGTCTGTAAAAGATGTGGTTCCAGACATACAGTACCCTGGCGTCTACAAACTAAGTTGCCTCTGTGGTAGCAGTTACATTGGAGAAACCAAACGACATGTCTCGGACCGCATCCGTGAACATAAGGCAGACCTGAAACACGGTAGGACAAACACCTCAGCCGTGGCAGATCACTGTTACAACTCAGTGGGCTCACATGATATTGACTTCTCCAAGACAGAGGTTCTCTGCAAGCCATCTGGCTATCATGAGAGATTCGTTCATGAGGCGATCCACATATACAAACACAGAGACAATTTCAACCGAGAAGATGGATTCTGGCTTAGCAATCATTGGAAGGACGTAATAAACCATTTCGGATCTTAACTGATTGTGTTCACGTTTACGGTGACTTTCAGACCGCGTTCCACTCACTGGCATGGTGCAGTGTGCAGAGTAATGTATGGTGTCGTAATTGTATAGTAAACATATAGCAGTGTGATACACATTAGGGTGGGTAGAATAATACATAGTGTTATATTAAAATGGATAAGGCAGCAACTGCAGCAGCAGCAAGTGCAGCAGCAGCAGTAACAGCAGCAGCAGCAACTGCAGCAGCAGCAGCAACTGCAGCAGCAGCAGAAACTGCAGCAGCAGCAACTGCAGCAGCAGCAGTAACTGCAGCTCCCTTTGATGCTGTTAATCCTGCATAATGCACATGCATATGCAGTACTAATCACATTCCTGCATTTCCCATAAATATGCTAAATTCCTTTTGATATGCAAATTCATTTGTCAATGCGCCCAGCTTATATATATGCTCCAAGCTCGTGTGCTGTTTCATTCAGACTCTGTCGCCTCAACGGACCTGGTTTTCACCTGAGGACGGCTGCTTGCGTTGTGGCCGAAACGTCGTGAGAATTGTTTTATTATGTTTTATTTTTATTATTTTATTACTTCCCTTCTACGTGACTTTACCGAAAGAACCAAGAAGATGAACCCATGAACTTGTTTAGATGTCACTTGCCACTGATACTTGCCGGGGCTGGCGAGATCGAACTCTGTGGGTTCGGGAAATACTCTACATATGCTGTGAAGAAATAACAAAGATGCCCCCCGTATAGCCTGAACAGATTGTATGAGGAAGTTGAGTTAGCAAATACTGGAGTACTGTAATTAGGGGCCGTCCATAAATGACGTCACGCGATTTTGGACGATTTTTGACACGGTATCACAAAAAGTCAGACCACCCCTCAAATATGACGCCTAAAACCTCTGCCCCCCCCCCTCCCAAAAAAATAAACATGCTTCAAATCGCTTTAAAACTATCGTCATTGTAGTGCGTATTTAATGTGGCGCTGCACTCTGATGTTGTAGGGGAAACCATTATTTAAAAGTATATTTAATTAAGTAGAACGTATTGTCTATATTTAAAGTTGCGCATTTTGATGTGACGTCACATTTCTCACCCCCCCCCCCCTCGTCACACATCGTCACAAATGTCTGACCCCACCCCCCCTAGGAGCGTGACGTCATTTATGGACGGCCCCTTATAAACGCCGGTACGGCACACGCGGGGGTGTGTGGCTAGTACCACACCCGACCGCCTTTGTCTCCCCAGTACTGATGTTTCTACACCGCAATAGATGTTTAGGCTGAATCGACCTAGGGGAGGCCCACGACCGGTTCAGATGTCAGTCACCAATGTTGGCCGCGGTCGCCGGGTTCGTATCGCAGTTGTGCCAGGCTAGGTGCACTTTCTACACGACAGGCAAACATATAGACTCTTGCCCATTTAAAATGTCCCAGTGTCGTGAGATCTCACCTGGTTAAACGAGAAAAACGTCAAGACACAGACACTCACTGACGATTTGACCCTCCTGACCTCTCCAGGGCCAAGCACAGCAGCAGCAGCAGACACACGCAGACTTACGCACAGATTGAGATGTTCACAGACCATAGACTATCAACCTCGCTACCAATGCCAATGACTGAGATGACCGGTAGATGCACCACCAGGTGTACCCCCTACTGTGCCAGGCTAGGTGCAGGAAGTCTCGGGACAGACCCAGCAGGTTACCATAGGTCGGCTGACTGAGATGACCAGTAGATGCATCACCAGCTGTGCCCCCTACTGTGCCAGGCTAGGTGCAGGAGGTCTCGAGACAGACCCAGCAGGTGCCATGGGTTGGCTGAGATGACCAGTAGATGCACCACCAGCTGTAACCCCCTACTGTGCCAGGCTAGGTGCAGGAGGTCTCCGGACAAACCCAGCAGGTGCCACGGGTTGACTGAGATGACCAGTAGATGCACCACCAGCTGTACCCCCTACTGTGCCAGGCTAGGTGCAGGAGGTCTCTGGACAGACCCAGCAGGTGCCACGGGTTGACCGAGATGACCGGTAGATGCACCACCAGCTGTACCCCCCTACTGTGCCAGGCTAGGTGCAGGAAGTCTCGGAACAGACCCAGCAGGTTACCATAGGTCGGCTGACTGAGATGACCGGTAGATGCCAACTTGCTCCATTTAATCCGCTCGTTGTTGTGAGCGTCGTTCCTCTGCCCTACGTTGTTGCTGGAGGACGACTGCCTCCGATTGCCCCAGTAGCAGCAGCGTCCTCGCTACACGACTAAGCAAAGATCCCCCATAGAGCCTTAACAGACTGTAGGGGCAAGTGCTGTTAGCGAGCACCTATGAAGGCCGGCACGGTACACGAGGGGGTGGGTGGCCAGCACCACGCCCGACCGCCTTTGTCTCCCTAGTGGCGATGTTTACACACCGCACCAGGTACTCATTTAAGGCTGAGTCGACCTAGGGGAGGCCCAGGACCGGTTCAGATAATCGTCACTGGTGTTAGCCGTGAGCGGGAATCGAACCCGGGTCGCCAGATTCATAGCGCAGCGCGCTAACCGCTACACCACCGCTCCCCACCACCGCTCCACACACTGACACACACACACTGACACACACACACACTGACAACACACACTGACACACACACTGACACACACACACACTGACACACACACACACTGACACACACACACACTGACACACACACACTGACACACACACACTGACACACACACACACTGACACACACACACTGACACACACACTGACACACACACACACACTGACACACACACACACTGACACACACACACTGACACACACACTGACACACACACACTGACACACAAACAGAGGCAGACAACTCACTCACTCCGAGGGAGACCGAAGTGGATGTACGCTCCCTCACCTCCGTGCGAGTCTGATTCCAGTATCTGAAGTGGCTCCATCATCCGTGCCGAGGAGCCGTCGCCTTCACAGCTCTCCTCCCCTCCCACCCAAAGTTAAACACAAACAACAAACACGATGAAGTCATGCATGAACTGCGAACGCCCACCACCCCACCTTTTTCTGCTCGTAATTAGTTAATAATTAGCCCATGAGCCGTGCCCTCACCAAAAAGCCACTCGCTCCGCCCGCTGGAGGCCGCTGCCGCCGATTTAAGTAAAAATAAATAAATAAACGCGTGGTCAACTTGGGGACATCGTCACTTGTTGAGAATTGCCCCGCTCGCTCTAGAAACGCGTCGTTAAAAAGTCCTCGTAACTTTCGTTTTAAAATAAAAAATACAAAAGTTACTTTTTTTTGTTCACGTCGCTTCAGCGAGCCTCTCGCGGTCGGTCTGGGCCCTTTAATTGTTTTTTTTGTTCCGGCTACCCCGTCTCTAGTTTTTTTGGTTCCGGCCACCCGTTTATATTTCGTACAGCGCATAAATTAGCCCCCCCCCCCCATCGACGACGCGTTCAGCCAATCGCGCGCGTTTCCTCGGGCGCGCGCGCGCAGACTTTGGCCAATCGCGCGGCAGCATTGTTTGCCGGCTTCGCCCATGCGCTCTAGGAAATGTAATGCGGGGGTGGGACTGAACGCGTTGCTTTCAATGGGACGTGGGCGATGTCTGTTCCTGTGTTTGTGTAAATCTTAGATTTACATTTAAATCGTGACAAGACAACACAAATATTCAGAGTTTTGCTTCCGTATCGCCGCACGATGGAGGACGACGCTCCCGTCATCTACGGCATCGAGTTTCAGGCACGTGAGATTTTTCACGTAATAACGAATTGCGCGTTTTTACACCTCCCGCCGTGAAGCGCTTTTAGGCCCCTAAATGCTCCAGAGGTTCTATGCGCGCGTGTGTGTGTGTGTGACACATGTGTGTTGTGTTTTATATACATGTGTGTGCGTTATACGCAGTGTGTATGTAGCCCGCATGCCCAGCCACCGCATGCCGAAACAGGGGGCTCGACGGGCGCGGCACGGGCAGGAGAAGAGATGGAGTGATGTGGTACAGGAGGACGTGGAGCTGAGTGGACTTGCCGATGACTGGTACCAGCGGTGTCAAGATCGGCCTCTGTGGAGGAGGCTCGTGAAGGACGCTGCTACTGGGCAGTGCCAGGCTAGGTGCACATTGAGGCTACTGGGCAGTTGGAGGCAGTCGCCCTCCAACAACAACGGAGGGCGGAGGAGCGACGCTCACAACAACGAGCGGAGCGCCGGGTGGATAAAACGCAGAAAGTTGGCACAGTGGGGAGCACAGGTGGTGTATCTGCCAGTCATGTCAGTAATTCAACCCATGGCACCTGGGTCTGTTCCGTGACCTCCTGCCAGCGGGCCTTCGGCATTTCACGTGGCCTCAATGTACACCTAGCCTGGCACAGAGGCCGTGGTGACGTCGTCGTCACTTAGTGTCGAATGGCCGGTATTGGTATTGGCACTGTTTAGCAAACTGCTACAGAACTCTGCAACCAGTGCTTAATTTCCCTGCCACGGCTAACGTCAGTGGCAAATAGTTTGTGAGCGCATTGTGTTACTCGTATGAGCCATACGTACCACTCACTTCAGTGCGTACCAACACTGGGGAAATCCACAGTCATTGTCCTAAAGAAAAACTCGCCCCGCCATAGGAATGTGGAATTGCCACCACCGGCTCAGGGCTGTAGACAGGAGGTGAGCACCGCCTCGCGTTCTCATTTGAGTAGGAAATCACTTGGATTTTTGTGTTCATGAATATGCCTCAGACCTTGACTCGATAGATGCGCATCTGATGACTTGCGTAACAACAGCACCCGTCACTGACATCACTCAGTAGGTGATCGTTAACAGCGCCCGCCTATAAGGTTTTATAAGCGAGTATCTTGCATGTAGCCTATGACTAAAAACGTCCTCGTCAGATCTCGGAAGCTCAGCAAAAAGCAGCCTGGTTATTGCTCAGATGGAGGATCATCATTCATAACAGATCTTATGGGCCACGGTTATATGTGGTCAGCAGGGGACAGTGTAGCAACATTGATTTTACTATAGTAACTATACAATGCCGTCATACTCAAATGTCTATATGATCACAATACAGTATTTGTGAAATATATGCTTTTCACACTTTAGTCGTGGACTCAATAATGTATTTATTGACTTGTATTTATTTTTCCGATAATCAGAACATAACTCTTTTCTCCAGTGTAACCATTTCCCTCGCTCCCATAACACCTATACGCTTATAGCAATCTCAATGACAGCCTAACCCTACCCGAACCCAAAGCCACGTACAGCCTCTTATATACCAGCCTCCCCACTCCACCTTATGTCTATTCCCTTTATAGTTTCATTCAAACCTCTTAATCCCCTCTCAGTTAAGAATAGAACATGAGGAAATAATCATAATAAGGCAGAGCAATGCATATGTATATTATTGGTTCTTTCGGTAAAGTCACGTAGAAGGGAAATAATAAAATAGTTATTATTATCCCTGCAATCACGAAAGCTTTAAATCAAAATGCATATGTAGTCGGGAAAAGGAGGTTGCCATGGGTGGGTCACGTGTGCATGATGTGAGAAGGCAGTTGACCAAGACAGACGTTCAAGTGACACCCAGAGGTCGGTGACCAAGAACAAGACCGACATTCAGATAGTGGGGCACTTACGAGTGGACCGTGCAGGTAGGGTGTCGACTCGACAACAGCGTAGGAGTCCAACAGAAAGAAGCGATGATGGTGTGTGCTGGCAATAGTGAATTTTGTTGTGATTACCTTGATGCTGATCATCCCCTCGCATTAATATTTCCTCTTTGTGTACACCCTCCCTCCTTCTCCAGTGTGCTGAAGCTTTGTTCTGCATTATTCCAGCTGATGGGATTCTAGCCCAGTTGACTTGATTAGAAAATTAATTTACCGATGGATCTTTGAGTATTATTCCCATTTATGCTTGGGATTTCTCTGGGTACTCCATTTTCCTCTCACATGCACAGGACCCTTGAAAAAAATATTCGTCACGAATTCTAATGCAAGAGTGTCATGAAAGAGATGTACCTGCATAAATTACACATGTTCCAGCTATGCTATTCAATCCTCTCTTCAAATTTAGGCTGCAGAATCAGTATAGATGTGCCTGATTTCAATACCATTCTTAAGTATCAGAGATACTCAGAACTTATTGATCTATAAAATGTGTCGAACCAGTACACGAATACCATATAGGGTAGCAAGATTAAAATGTTCTGATGGTCCATTATAAGTCTAAGCAATACACACTTGCCATGTAATATCACAAAGAGTATTCTTGAGTGCAAGCCAATTTGTTGTCCATTGAATTTTGAAATGTGCATCGTATTGAAATATATTCATCTTAACATAATTAAATGTGTAGCTAAACAATAATTTTGTATTGGTACACTTCGCCAATCAAAACTCTAGAGTGCAAACTCTAAATGTTTAAACCTTTTTTCCCAATTTAGGCTCGAACATTGACTGCACAAACAGCCGAAACAGATGCTATCCGCTTTCTTGTGGGAACACAGTCGATGAAATATGACAATCAGGTATGGAAATTAAACATTGCTGTAGTTTTTGTATTGTAATGCTGTTGTACAACTTATACAGGGAGTAGCATAACTTGCCCTTGCAATGGGCCTATATTTATAAAATGCCTAAAATATTAAATTCTCTGGATAGATAACCAAATGGTTATAATGCAGCCCAGAAAGCCAATTTTTGTTCATTCCAATTATTTGTATGTCTTAGAAAGCCATTTTTCCCCGTGATAAAATAACACACGTGCCCCATATGGCAGAGGTAACAACTGAAGACAAAAAAATGAGTAATATGCCTTCGTGTTGAAGGAGAAATAATGTTTTTTGTGAGCCAATAAAAATTATCACTTGATATGCATTTCTGTACAGGTGCACGTGATTGACTTTGACGATGAGAACAATGTGATCAATAAAACCGTGTTCTACCATCGCTCTGGCGAGGTGTGGCACATCAGCGCCAGCCCTGGGGACAAGAATGTGGTGGCGACATGCTACAACACCAGTAAGAACCTGCGGGCAAGAGGTCCAAACTTGATGACTTGTGCACATAAACTGCAAACTCCAAATGACGACTAATAATGCCACTCATTGAATGATCAACTTCACGATTGGCCAAAATGACACAAGCCGGTATGTTTGATTAGTTTGTGTAACGTAAATAACAGTATCCATTCAGTGTTTTTTTTGAGCTTCAGTTTCCAGGCCATAATTCTAGTTTGTGTGTGTGCATGCATCATTTATATACCTTTAGTATAGTTAGACTTGTAAACCACTTATTTAAGATTTAAGATTCCTATATGTTGAATGTATGCACAATTCGGCCAAAGTAAATTCCTTGTCTGTGCGAACTTTCATGGCGAATAAAACCCTTTATGATTTGTGTTGATGCTTAATTATAAACAGGTTTGTGGTGTTTCACTCACTAATCATAGCTATCTTGATTCAATTGATGGTCATGTAGAACATCAGTGGCAAGTCATATCTGAACATGGCCACGGTCTGCCATTGATTCAATATTTCTAATGTAATCATCTGACACAGCCCCAACATCTTCTTGGTTCTTTCGGTAAAGTCACTTTACCGAAAGCTTTAAATCGAAATACAGCCCCAACATTTACAGTTCAAACAACAACCAGGAGTAGTTATGGCCACACCACCCCTTGTTGTGTTGGAAAGTCTGACATTCGCGACAGTTTGATGAGGATTCACTCGTGATATATTTTTTTTCCCCGTCCTCGATCCATGTTCCGGTACGACTGCACAGTGGTGGACAATAAGCTGCAGTCGTGTGCGTCCGTGTGGCGTATCCCGCGGGATTTTGATTCGGGCAGCAGTGAGCCTGCTGACGAGAGTGGAACCAACCCACTCGCCCTGGAGCTGCTTTGTCACTTTGACAACAGTGGCCACGGCAACATGGCCAGGTGAGAACCCTGGAGCTCTTCAAGCACTTATGCAACCAAATGCTTTTTAACTTTTCATTGTCAACTTCGTCTCAGTATTTGTTATATTCACGCGATGAATAAGCTTGCACCTAAGCGTTAATTGTAATTATGTATTACACCTCAAGTTTGAACCAAATCTCGAGCACATTATTGAAGATGGAAAAGTACATTGTGGTGATTTACACTGAGACCTCCTTTACCAGTGGCAAAATATAGTAATATGTTTTTACCCTTTCAACTGGTACAACAACTGACACCTTTATACATTGCAATTCCTTGCAGGTGAGTCACATGTTAAGTGGCTGATTACTGATCTATTACATAATTACATACACCCCTACCTCTGATCTCGAATCCTGATGGGGTTCAACAATAATGACGTCATCCTGCACTATTTAAGACCGGAAGCAGGTAGATGGCTTCACTATTCTGGCAAATCGCCTGAAGATGCTGGATGTAATTTTCAGCGAAACGTCCTACTCAAATTGTACGTGTTATGGATCCACTCTTCAACACACCGGTGGGCTAAAGAAGTAAAATATTTGTCTTTTGTAAACGTGGCACATTTATTCCTGATTGGTCGTGTCGGGTGGTGGAGGGTTGCGACACATTTACAAATAACTTGATCTAACCCAAAAACCTTTATTATGAATGATGAGATCCGTGGAAGCATTAACTTCAGATCTTCACTTCATGGTCTGAATAGTCCACCTGAAAACATAGAGTAATGTCAATTACATTTTCTCAGAATTATGGGTGGCTTGAAGGATTATGCCCGTTGTTCATGTGGCCAGGGGGCTTTGTGTGGTGAGATGTTGACTACCTCGCCTGGTATACAGGACGTTGTGGGTTCGATCCCAACCCTGACGCCTGTATATTTGGAGTCTGCATGTTCTCTCCGTGATGGCTTGGATTTTTCTGCGGGTAATCCGGTATTTCCTTCCACATTTAGAAACATGCGTTTAGAGTATTTGGCTGCTATGATTTTCCACGTGATAAGCCACTTCGTTGAGCTGTAATTTGTTGCCGGGTCGCTTCTGAAAAAGAGATATACAGCTCAGTGGGCCTTGGTAAAATAAAACTTTGTTTGGTTTTATAACATGTCACAGCAATGAGCCGTCACCACTAAGATCTTGAGTGTAAACTTGGGCAGTCATCTGTGCTTCAACGGGGTTGTTGATTTCAGCAAGTTGATGATCCCCCCCCCTGCCCCCGGCCATCATAGACTGCACAGCAAGGCCTGCAATATAAATTAGATGCTTGACTTAATGTGGCCTAGCTCTGCCATGAGAGATAAAATGTATGTAAATATATGTTTGATGTTTGGCACACAGTGAACTGGTATATAAAGAACATGAAAAACAGACATTGAAGAGACTGCAGATTTATTTATGCGCCACGTTATAATTATTTAGCACTTAACGATACATTTTTTAATATGCTTACCATGCAAATAACTAATAGCTCAGTGGGCTTTACCCAGTTAAAATTTAAATAGTTTAGTTTTAATGCATTTATTTCGAGTAATTTACTCATCTTTCCTATACTTTGCACTCATATCGTTATTTTGTGTTGTTTGTTGTTGTCACTGACCTGCTCCTACTGGACATCTGTGAAAAAACCCTTCATATAGCTCATCAATGTCTCCAGGGTAAACAAAGACTCTGAATCCTGAATCAAAGGAATGCGTGTTTCTGTCGTGCGTGCAGTGTCTTATGGGAACCCCTTGGTGATGGGAGCAAGGCAGTCACTCTTTCTGACAACCACCTGCTATGCTGGGACCTAAAGGAAAGCTCCACGCAAGCCGTTGTGAGTTGTGTTCAGTTGACTTTGTGCCCTCTTAACACGGACGTCCTGTGCAATACTGCATCTCGTTCTTACATCATATTTGGCTGGGTGACACAGTGGTTATGGCGTTTTACCTGCATTCTGAAGGCTGGGAGTTTAAACCCCAGTTGGTGGTCACCACGGCCCTTTGTCCCGTCTGTGGCTGATATAATGACCGCCACTTTGCGGGAAGTTGATCGTGTTTGTCTTTTAGATAGAGGAGCCTCTGCGCTGGGAATGTGAATTTTTCACAAATGGCTTAGTGCTGTAAACAGGAGATGTGCGTCATCCCACGCTTGTGCGAGCAATAATCTACTTTTACTTGTTTGCTGACATCTAACGTGATATAGATAATGCATGGAACTTTCATGCCTCCAAATAACAAGACCAATCGGTGCATTTGGGATTAATTCAAATAGCAAAACTGAACACACTCACTGATGACACTGCCTTGCAAAGGGAATATATATATAACAGGTGATCTTTCGGACAATGGTCAAACATACACACCGTTTCACTTAACATTTAATGAACATGCTCACATACCTGTTACATATATGTGTGCGTATTCAAAGCACAGCAAGTTGGCACAGTAGGGGGCACAGGTGGTGCATCAGCCAGTCATCTCGATCATCTCAGTCAGTCGACCCGTGGCACCTGGGTCTGCCCCATAACCTGCCAGCGAGCGTTCGACACTTCACGTGGCCTCAAGGTGCACATGGCCTGGCACAAGCGTCCGTGGTGACGTCACCACCACTTAGTGGCGAATGGCGGTTGTTGTTGTGCGTATTCATGATATAACTCCAATCAACATTTACTTCAGCATATGACCAAAGATAAGTAATGCCTGCTGTGAGTTGCAAAGGTAGTAATGATTAATGGAGAGAGATTAAATCAACTTACGAGTTTCTGTATATGAGAGATCTTCTGGTGTTTCGCGATACATGGAGTTATAAGCCACATGGTGTGAAGGTCCTTTTAAAATTCCATAATGTCTTGTGAATAGTGTTATTATTTAACAATCAAATCATGGTGTGCATGTGCCTCTGGAGAGTACTGCACGGCCATGTGCGTCATTGGAAATTGTGTTTGGAATTGGATTTCCCATTTGTTGACGCAGCTGAAACTCAGCTACCTGATATATTGCGTTAACATCAGTTGTGGAGGAACAACGCTGATTGCATGCTGTGCTACGCCGCCCGAGTGTGTATTTACGTTTGCTTCTGCACGTGCGCGCACGTGTGTATGTGTGTGTCGAAGTTGTGGGGAGCGGTAGTGTCACGGTTAGCGTTTTGCGCTACGAACCCGGCGACCCGAGTTTTATTCCTGCTCACGGCCAACACCAATGAGATTTTTTGCACCGCTTCTGGGCCTCCCCTAGGTCGAGTCAGCCTTAAATGAGTAGCTGTTGCAGTGTGCAAACATCGCCACGAGGGAGACAAAGACAGTCCGGTGTGGTGCTGGCTACCCCCACCCCCTCGTGTGCCGTTAGGGCCTTCATAGGCGCTCGTTAACAGCACTTGCCCCAACAGTCTGTTTTTTGTTGTTGAAGTTGACGAGCTCCACATCACTGGAGGGGAAGGGTCAGCTGAAGTTCACTGCTGGACGCTGGAGCCCCCATCACAACTGCACGCAAGTAGCGACGGCGAACGACACGGTCATCCGTGGTTGGGACATCCGGTCCATGAGGCAAGGAAACTACTTAACTGTGCCTTCAAGAACAGCAGGCTCCAGCACAACTCTCAGCCCTGTCAGTCTGAATACACCCACAGCAGAGTAACCTAATACATTTATTCATGACGCATTGCTCACCCACTGTTGAATAATAGTTTGTTTTTAACGGTGCAATTGATTAAAAAATGCCATAGCCAATTTTTTCTACTTTCTGAGTACAACATGCTAAATACTGATGAACTTCGCTTTCATTGCTTGAGAATGTTTACTACAGGTGAGATGTGTATGCAGTTTGATTAGAAACATACACCATTGGGTCCGTAATCATATGTTTGTTTCGGAAATGGTCACTCAATGCCCGCATTCACTGAATGTTTCACTTTCGGCCAGATGAGGGCAGCAGTTTATAGCAAAACTGCAATGTGGCTAGGATATTGTGGCTAGGATATTCTTTGTACAACACAAACTTCAGATTTTACTTGCATTGGCTAGCAGTATCCTGTATAAGGAGTATGAATAAAATCATCCCTACAAAGATCACTGGCTGGATCAGTCGCCTGTTTAGCTGCAACGTTGCAGGTTCAAATCCAAACTCGGCTCCCCTGAACACATGCTTCGTGAATATTATTGAACAAGCTAATATAGAATTTTAATTTGCGCATTATACATTGTAATGATGGGACCCAATATCTAACGGATAATACCATATCAGGGTAGTTGAGCTGGCACTGCTGAGATCTGAGGTTTGGATCTTGAGAATCCTTTATTGATTAATCATTTTCTGAAGTGAAGTGAGACTTTATTCTGCCGGGGTCACCGGTGTCAGCACAAACAAACTTCATAAAATTTTGTTACTTAATGTTTTTTTATATTCATTCTTTTGACGATAATATGCATTGGCTCCATTGCCATGTTAAACAGATTCCACCGAGCGTAGTAAGTGGCTGCTGAATTGTGTGTATAAGTCGTTATGGGACCTCATCTTCCAGAGCTGTGTTATACTACAAGCTGGTGCACTGCTCGCTGAAACAACCTCCAAGTGGAAATTCATTTTTCTCAAGAGATTAGGGTGAGAGCAGACTTACAATATGATTATGGGGAGATTTAATAAACATAGATATGTCATGTTGCACAATTACCACAGTTCAATGTAAGTTATTGATCTGCTGGGAAAAAAAGCAAATCTTCACTTTGGCCAGTGACTGCCCGAGTGTATTTTAACAACGCGTTGCTGATTTAAATCTTTCGTGACTGCAGGGATTCATATTCTTGGTTATTTCGGTAAAGTCACGTAGAAGGGAAACAATAAAAAAACGCCACTTTTTTCGAATGTTCTTGTTGTGTTTTTCACACCTGATGATGATTGCTTGTGTTGCAGTCGAAACTTCGTGAGAATTGTATTGTTTTATATTTGTATTATTTCATTCCTTCCCTTCTACGTGACTTTACTGAAAGAACCAAGAATATGAATCCCTGTTGCTGCTTTTAATAAAAAAAATACTTGAACAAATGTAAGCAAAACTCTTATAATTCTACACTCGCCTAATTCACTGGTGCACTATTAGGTATGCGTCGACGTTAACCCCGTTTTACGTGTCCCAATGCAGACAGGCTTATTGCATCGAGAACGCGCACGGACAGTTGGTCAGAGACATGGACTTCAACCCAAACAAGCAGTACTACCTGGCGAGCTGCGGCGACGACTGCAAGGTCAAGTTCTGGGACACCCGGAACCCGACGGAGCCTGTGCGCAGCTTAGAAGAGCATTCACATTGGTGAGTCTTAGAAGGGCATTGACACTGATCAATCTTAGAAGGGCATTGACATTGATCACTCTTAGAAGGGGCATTCACATTGATCAGTCTTAGAAGGGCATTCACATTGATCAGTCTTAGAAGGGCATTCACATTGATCAGTCTTAGAAGGGGCACTCACATTGATCGGTCTTAGAAGGGGCATTCACATTGATCTGTCTTAGAAGGGCACTGACATTGATCAGTCTGCCCATCAAGCTCCCTTCACGGTCACGTGAAGTGGAACTTTGCTACTTTACATCAGCAAAGGGACAGGTTTCCATTTGAATAGCATTGTTCTGTATGTTTTCCATGATTCATCGGCATTTTTTGTTATTCTTTTCATAAACCTTTATCTCTTTTTTTCACCATTGGAACCCACTGAAGGGAAGCACAAATGCAGTCAAATGGCACAGATGAGTTGTAATGCTGTACAACAGTACAGCAGTGTGCATCGAGGCTGCACGTAGGAATGTGATGTTAATAAGACAGCAAATTTAATTGCAGTCAACATGAATATATAAAGACATGCTTTGTACGTTTATATAAATTAATCTGACATATACATGTATTATGTTTAAGAACTACACAAGACGTGGACAGCGTTGAAGTAACATTTTACAATAGCGTGTATATGGAATACAAATGAGGTGCTGGTTTCTAGATGTGAACATGGGCAGGGAAGTAGAGCAGTGAGAAAAAGATAAATACAACTTCTTTTTTATTTACCAGGTAAGGCAGACTGAGCTAAAAAGCTCTTTTTCAGAAGTGACCTGGCCGCTAATGATAGCTCAACGAAGTGGCGTTTTACGTTGAAATTTATAGTAGCCAAATAATATAAATGCATGTTTATAAATGTGGAGTGAGAGACCGGAAGACCCGGAGAAAAATTCACGCGTCCGCGGGGAGCACACGCAAACTCCAAACATACAGGCGTCAGGGTCGGGATCGAACCCACGACCCCCTGCATACCAGGCGAGGTAGTTAACATCTAAACAACCGCAGTTCCCTGCAATGGCAACACCGGAGGAGGAGAAGCGACCGCCTGGCACGTTGAGTTCAATGCTGGGAACGGCGAGCAAGCAAAGGTGGTGGTGCGTGCTGGCACGTGTGACGTTAACGAGGCCTCCTTTTGACCGCAGGGTGTGGAGCGTTCGCTACAACCACTCGCACGACCAGCTGGTGCTGAGCAGCAGCAGCGACAGTCGCGTGATTCTCTCGAACATGGTGTCCATCTCGTCGGAGCCCTATGGGCAGGGGGCTGATGATGACGATGATGAAGCCAGTGATGCAGACGAGAAGGTCGACACGGAGCCAAAGTAAGCCTTTTGCACCCTACAAGTTACCCAGCTGTAGTTTCTGCTTGCTGTTATATATTTTAACCACGAACTATAACATGCCTGTGAAAATTTAGTTGAAATCTCCCACACCAAAAATACTCTTATTATCCTCTGACACATTACCTGCAATTATTTTAAATATTTTGTTCACTTTATTACCTGGTTCAAAGGTCAAAAATGATGTGTAACGCAGCATCAATATCATACGGCCTTGGTACCTATTGGACAGATTGGGTCCTGAATTCTGTTGACGAAAATATATCAAGTATTGACACAGAGGAACAATGAAAGTTTATTACAATGTAGATTATGTATTTTCTTCAGCTTTTTATGCAGGAAATCCTTAATTTCGAGATGCACTTTCACTGGGGTCCTGCTTCAGGATGTTTGATAATTTACTTTTTTAAATATCTTCGGGTCTTTTGGGTGTACCCAGGAAAACTCTTGCTGTTGATAGAATAACAGTCAAACTGCACAGGGGTAGCTCGGTAGTCTTTCTTGCTGTACTCCTACCGATATTATGATCCAGTTGTGAAATAGCAATTTCTGGGTAATCCATCAAAGCCACGTGGGTCTTGGGAATGTGAGAGACTTAACTGGGTAAATTATCTACAGGTTATTAAATATAATTCCTACTGAAATAAGCAATGTGGCAGTGCTCATCTTTGCCAGTCCTCAGCCAGTGGTGGAATTTCTTCATTGTCATTGTAGGGGCCAGTCTAACCGTACGGTGACCACGATTGACCTCCAAATAGTTCCTGCTCATTATTTTGATCGATATTAGCCTGAAGTAATTCCCAATCATGATTTAAACTTGCAGCCTTTCCATTACGAGTCCCTGGCTCTTAACTACAGTGGCACCCATCCAGACAAAAGAATATAGGTGATTTTCTTAAACAATAACATTATAATTAAGTCATCAAAAATGGTCACCGCATGGCCGTCTGGAACGCTCTTCCTTCCGATATTAGGAAGCCACTGGAGCTATGCACTTTGAAATCTAGATTTAACACTCATTTTTTTCAGAACTGCCGTTTATATGTAGTTGTTGTCCTTCCCCTGCATCTCCAATTATCAATTAGGAAGCCACTGGAGCTAAGCACGTTTTGAATCTCGATTGGAAACTCATTTGTTTTCGAACTGCTCCGATTAGCACGGTTGGCTACGTATGGTGCGAAAGAAGTTCAACATGCATACGTACAACTACAGTGCCACCCAGCCGGACGAAAGAAATTCGATTATTTTCTAAAATAGCAAGATTATAATTAAGTTATCAACAAACCTCTGAACGGTTGTCAATACTGGCAAGAGACGAAGATCTGGCAATACACGACTCACGTGTGCGGTTCCACCGTTCCGCCCCCCCCCCGTGAACAGGAGTAAGGAGCCCCCTCAGGACAGCATCATCGCGACGTACGAGGAGCACGAGGACAGCGTGTACGCCGTCGAGTGGTCCGCCGCTGACCCCTGGCTCTTCGCCTCGCTCAGCTACGACGGGCGGCTCGTCATCAACCGCGTGCCCCGCACCGTCAAGTACAAGATCCTGCTCTGAGGCGACGGCAACCGGCGTGCGTGGGCCTTACCCACCCAAGTGCTGTTGCCACTTTACTCGGGCCAGGAGGCCACACGCTGGGCTCTGGTGCCCTTCGTGCTGTGATATTTTAAATTCAGGTTTTTTTGTGTGTGTTTGTCAGGCACTTTGGTGACGCCCGGTTGTATTGTGACACGCAGTGCCAGGTTGTATGCATGCATGTTGAACTTCTTTCGCACCGTACGTGGCCAACCGTGCTAATCGGAGGTGCGGGGGAAGGACAACAGACTAATCACAAAAAGCAGTTATGAAGAAATTAGTTTTCTATTTAGATTTGAGAGTGCATAGCTCCAGTAGCGTCCTAATATCGGAAGATCATTCCAGACGGCTGCAGAAGCGCATCTGAAAGCGCGCGATGCAGTGACCGTTAATCACCGTGCACATACACAGAGTAAAGGTCTGTAATGTTGCGTGTATTGCATCCGTGCATTCGCTAGCGCACTACGCTTTAATCCCAGTCACCCGAGTTCGATTTTCCCACAATCACAAAAATGTAGTGGCATGTGCTAGAATAACCTGTTCTGGGCCTCCTTTAGGTCAACTACATGCTAGTCCGTGCGAGTTGGTGAAGGTGGGGAGCATAGCCGTGGGGAGCATAGCAGTACAGTATAACACGTAATGTTCCTGCACTGCCCTTTGCTGCCCACATGTAGTTCCTCGAGCCTATAAGACCTATTGTGCATGGGGATCAATCATCCCTCTCCCATTGTATGGTACCTGTTAACATCCTCGCCTGCTACAACTCGGACGCAATATGTGCATCCTGCCCTGGCTTCTCACGCTATAGTTTATCAAGGACGGTTTAGAATTTAAGCGTTTAGGAATGGTCTATGGTCATAGGGTAAGCAATGTAACCATTTTTTTTCAAATCTGCTGCGAGTAGTTTGCAGAATCAATTATATGTTCAATTCTATTATCTTAATTGTGTGCAGCAGTGAACATCTTTAACTGGTTCCTTTCCACAAAGAATCGTTTCAGTCTAACGTCATGCATTTATTTAATCTTGCCGATTGGTCGTGCTTGCTATTTTTAGTCTGGAAAGAGGAGTGTAAGATTCAAGGAATACATCAATATTTTGTAAAATAATTTGCCGCTCTTATGATTTTGGAATAGGTCATCAAAATTATTTCTTATAAAGAATATCAATCTATTCACTCGCTATTTTTCCTTCACATGATGTACACATTTAATAACATGTAGATAGATGTATGGAACCCTAGAGATGTAAAGTAACGCTCATCACACACTTATATAACTTGTATATTTAAAGATATGCTTTAATTATCTAAGCAGAGATAGCAGTATGATCTGTAAATCTACTTTATCATTAATTAATCGAATCATGTGCTTCCTCCCCCCCCCCCCCCCCCCGCTATGAGATTGCTGGTCGTAATAACATGCTTTGAATATGGCGCACTATAATGCTTGAAGAGTCTTAAGAGAACTTTACTATAATAGTACTTAAACTCTAAATTCCTAAAACCTGCACTCTGCAGAGCTGGGCAGGGAATCTCAAAGCTGTGTAGCAACTTGTTTGTGAGACAAGCTTGAGCAACCACGTGAGTGTTCATAATTACTCTAATGGGAACTTGACTTTCACTGAGCACTTACTGAGTATCCTTATAATCTGTTCAGCTCACGCGCAGTCCAAACAGAGCTGGTAAGACCCAGCCCTATCGGGCTAAGTGCCTTAACCCCTTTTACCTGTGCAATTGTGTTATTATCTTAGAAGACACACAGTCAAAATGTCCGCGGGTAATGCTCACGGCATCGATTTATCAGACTGCCCGTTGCTTATGTCGTTTTCTTTAGTGTCCCAAGTGGGACATCCCCACTTGTGTCGAATTTGCGCAGGAAAAACCGCTTCAAAGCAGCCACGGTGTGTGTTTTTATCGAATTAAAACAATACATTTACATTTTCACATTGGGGGGGGGCGGTGGATTGTTCTGGCAAGCATTAGTAGCCGTTGTGTGATGTCAGGCGTAGCGAGAGGATGTTTCAGTTTCACTGGCCAGCCCTTCTTCTGGGCTTGCTGTTACATGCTCGAAGCAACAGATTGCATTTGCCTGTACAAGCCACATATGGCTTTTCTTTCATTTTCAGGAGTGGTAAAACAATAAAGGCAGTCTCTCCATCACTTTGCCTAAACACGAGCACAGGTAAAAACCCAGGTGTGCATCCGATTGTTGGCACTGAAATGTTTAACTAACAAAACATTCCCCTTCGCTGGGTGCCCTTTTTTTTTAGTTTTCATGCTCATGGCTGCTGCGACTGAGAGCCACAATGTATATGCAATCCATAGGTCATAGCAGGTAATATCCACGATTTAATCTACACGATGCTATAGTTAAAGCCTTTAAGTACATCGATGTGCTGCTTTCATTAACAAGTTAATTTCTACAAATGCGTTCCAACCTATTATTTCCTTATTTTCATCCCATTCCATCTTAAATAATTGCCCAAGGTGTACACACTCTGATGGCTTTTCATATTTCCAGTTTTATTTAGCAATATTGTTGTGCATGGCTTGTGTTTTGCACGGATTTATCTTGAACTTTGCATCAGTCTTGGATAGTTCTTCAATCAGTTCCTGTCGTTAATTTCCGTTGTTTTTTTATGACTGCGTCAGCAGCAAATCTGAGATGGCTGTTATTTTCTTTATTTTAGAGCGTTTATTTCTCCAATCCAGTGTTCGAAATTCCTCTTCTGTTGGCGTGAATATATATCGGGTTGTCTCTGATATATATTGTTAATCTAATGCGATCTCTGTAGCTGTTTCGTCCATGTGAATGGTTTTCATTCTGAATGTTATACTTATTCTGTGATAGCTTGATGACAGCAGCAATTTCTTCCGAGTCAAATGCTTTTGCGTCATCTTCAAAGGCTAAGCATAATGGTCATGTCATGATGGCGACAAAAAGTATCTCCAGGTGATGGGACTATATTTTGAGACCGACTTAAGTGGCCTGAAATGTGTTTACTGGAGCCAGATTTCATGAACCCAAAACTGAAAAAGTGGCCCCGTTGTTTCCTCAATAGAATTCCTCTTGGTAGTCCACGAGTGAGGAGTGTCGTGTTTCGGAATGGGGCACGGGTGTGAACGCAAGGTACCTGTGCTCAACCCTTTGCAATTGTGCCTCATCACGCATGGTTTCGTAAAATGTTTTAAAGGTATTATAAATAATGTATCTCCATTTCCATCTTTTCGAGTGGTTTCCTTTTTGTAGGATTTGTAGAGTTATGGTAAATTAAACAAGTAATTGTTTATGTGATGATATGCTTTGGTTTATTAAAATTACTGGGTTTAAATGTGGTTATTCATTTGCGTATTGTTCAATGCTTGACCAGTGATTCTCCAAATGTTTGCATTACAAATGTACATTGTCGTGTCCACTTTTAGGGGGATTCTCAAAATGAACTCTGAAGATACTGTAAATATTACATGGTACCAAATGAACAAATTAGAAATAAAGTGTGTGTGTGCTGGATTCTGGTTTGTAATTCACTGCTATGTGCATAGTGCAATGCCAAGTTCACTCATTCAGATTTGACACGCGTATATTTGATGTTGGCGATGTTCGCAAGAAGCCCTGCTCCGTTCACAGTGACCTGGACTGCCTTTTACTCCCATGAAATGGAAACGGTTGCCTGCGAATGTATTCATTTAAATACTTCGCTTGGGAAATCCATTGAGGTGGAAACATCTCGGTTTGCAAGGGCGTTCAAGAAATGGAAACATTGTGTTTAATTACTTTCTCCAGCTGTGTCCAGAGCGTGCTGCTTAATGGAATGCATTGCTAGGAACAATAGCAAACATATGGTGCATGCCTCTTAGCTTGTAAATGCTAACGTTTATCTTCTTGGTTCTTTCGGTAAAGTCACGTAGAAGGGAAGTAATAAAATAAAATAAGTAATAAAATTATTCTCACGACGTTTCGGCCACAACGCAAGCAGCCGTCCTCAGGTGAAACCAGGTCTGTCGAGGCGACAAGCACGTGTGCTGTTTCATTCAGACGCTGTCTTCTCGACAGACCTGGTTTCACCTGAGAACGGCTGCTTGCGTTGTGGCCGAAACGTCGTGAGAATTATTTTATTATGTTTTATTGTTATTATTTTATTACTTCCCTTCTACGTGACTTTACCGAAAGAACCAAGAAGATGAATCCCTGCAGTCAGGAAAGCTTTAAATCGAAAAATGCTAACGTTTACTTGGCTTATCCGATCTTTGTAATCAATTTGTCAGTGAAAATTGGAAAATAACTCTTACTACATTCCACTAATGATGAAGCATGGTTAAGCATTACCCGTTTGTTGCATATGAAAGATGGGGCGAAATAAATATGCTTGCAACTTCAATCAACCTTTTCCTCACACAAGTGGGGTACATCTGTGCGGGTGGTTAGTGTGAGCAAACAACGCAATAGAAAACGGTGGTTTTAACAACCTCGGTACTAAATTTCGATTTAAAGCGTTCGTGACTGCAGGGGATTCATCTTCTTGGTTCTTTCGGTAAAGTCACGTAGAAGGGAAATAATAAAATAATAATAAATGTTACATTTTTTTCCCTTCTACGTGACTTTACCGAAAGAGCCAAGAAAATTGGGCACGGTTTACATTTTAAACCTGCTGACAGTCTTTTTTTATTATATTTGTTTTATTCCACATCCTTTTCTCACATCATACATTGCAATATCCTCACATTCTGGACGGCATTACCAGTTGCATCGACGGTATCAGGCACACCGGACTCATCAGAGCAGGTAGGGGGGTTGGCCAGGTCATTGCCATTCTGGGCTCAGGTGTTTAAGATTGTTCTAAGGTTTAGGAATGGGCCCCATGCACGTGCTGTATTCTTCTTCCTTGTCTCTTGAGCTCAGCTCAGACAGACGCTCCAGTGCTGAGATTGGGCACCAATGAATACAACCATCGAGTTTGGGAGCGGGGTTTGTGAGTCTTACACGTACTCAGAGGGGTTTTTCTGGCTACTCTATTTTAAAGTCTTTAACAAAATGTTCTGTTCTCCATTCAGTCCCACTTCTCGCAGGCCCCACAGGGTTGTTTCTACAATTATTCTTGCAGATGTGTAATGACGCTCCTTCGCTGGTTCCATTTCTTGCAGGGGACTGATGTTTCTTTTCCCGAGAACGTTTAACACGTAGGCTTTCGCGACCAATATCTATAATGAAGGTTATTTGGGTTGGGTCGCGTAAATATATAAATGTGTCGTTAAAACCCGCCACCACCCGACACAGCCAACTAGTAAGGGTTGTCACGTAAACAAAACATACCAATTCGTCACTAGTGCAACACAAATCTGGCTGTCGCCTGATGAAGCTAGTTGTAATTACTGGCGAAACGTCGTACGCGGATTGTAAATGTTGTGGCTTGGCTCTCCAACACACCGGTTAGTGCTGTACTAGTGACGAATTGGGCACGTTCTGTTAACGTGACAACCCTTACTGGTTAGCTGTGTCGGGTGGTGGCGGGTTTTAACGACACACATTTACGCGATCTGACCCAAAACCCTCTATCATTATCCGAAGAACGTATTTACAAAGGCTCCCACTAGATTAACTTTAAACGCTCTTTCGAGATGTGTTACCACGCACGACGTAGATCTTTTAGTAAGTCGGGTCCGATGTTCTCCACCTTCAGTCGTCGATCAGTCCCCCCCCCCCCGCCGAGCAAACGCCCCAATCGCGGGCCTGGGCTCCCCCGTTAGGGATCGGCCATAAATGACGTCACGCGATTTTGGACGATTTTTTACCCCCCCCCCACCCGTCGTCACACGGCGTCACAAAAAGTCAGACCCCCCTCAAATATGACGTCACAAAGCTCTGCCCCCCCCAAATAAAACATGCTACAAATCGCTTTAAACTAGTGTCATTGTAGTGCGTATTTAATGTGGCGCTGCACTCTGATGTTGTAGGAGAAAACATTAAAAAGTCTATTTAACTAAGTAGAACGTGTTGTCTATATTTATTTAAAGTTGCTCATTTTGATGTGACGTCACATTTCTCAACCCCCCCCCCCTCGTCACACATTGTCACAAATGTCTGACCCCCCCCCCCCCTAGGTGCGTGACGTCATTTATGGACGGCCCCCTATATACCCGCTCGGCTGCTCCCTTCTCGAGCCCTGGCAACTTCCATCACTTCCCTTCTTGAACAACCTCGGTACTATTAAACCCTGCACGTGTTTCCACCCATCTCCACTCGCCCCACCTATAACCTTTGCCACGTACAGATGTATTGTTAATCTTATTGAATACCCATAAACGTTTTTGGGTTAGATAACGTTATTTATAATTGTGTCGTAACCCTCCACCACCTGACACGGCCAATCGGTAAAAAAGTGTCACGTTGGCAAAAGACAAATAGTTCACTACTTTAGCCCACTGGTGTGTTGATGAGTGAATCCACAACATTTACACGTGATGTGCAAAATTGAAGTGACCTTCATAAGCCAATAATGATCTTTGAGGTGGTTTTAATGGAGTGCCATGAACAATAATTCCCTTCAAACAGGCCTCATCAACTCTCCTGCTTGCATTGGGATGGTTCGTCAATCTATTCTCCAGAAACACATACCTGCGGAGGGAGCTGATAGGAACGTTGGGTTGCTCGGTCAATGGCCAGGGTCAACGGCGGCGTGGTGTATTCCGCAAATATGCCCGACTGTGAGGGTGGGCACAAGCCGGCGTGAGTAGGTTAAACGTTGAGTTTTATAAGGGCACCACGGGGTGACCAGCCCCCCCCACCCAGCCCCACCCTCCCCACCCAGCCCCTCCCTGCATGACGGACAGACGGACACAATAATCCCCTGTGGGCTGGTGTAACCAGGAGGTTCCTACCAGTAAAACGGAGTACCTGGAGAAAACCCACAAGTGCGTGGGTAACAATCCTGGCCTTCTTTCAACCCAAGCCTACAACACCTGGCATTCCCAAGCAGTTTCGCATCCAACTATTCACCAAACTCAACCCTACTTCGCTTGTGAGATCTGATGAGATTGCGTTCAGGGTTGTTTTATTTTTTGGAGGCAAAGTGAGAAAGCGTTGCCTGCATATCAGACCATAATTTTGTAACGAAGCTCCGTAAATATCTGAATGCGTTGCAGATCTTTTACCAATACGTTTGTTGCCCTTCATAGGAGTGAAAGCTGAGGACATGCTTCCATCAGCTATGTGCAACTAGTAATCCCGTCAACTCCAAGTACAGTCCTGCTCAGTTAAATACATCTTCCTGAAAATTCAAAATTAAAATTAGCAAAGACGCTGCTTGATTATAATGCCAAAGTCTGTCAATAAAACTAACATGATCTTGACAATTGTTTTTTCACCCTTTTATTTGGCAACAAAACTGACACATTTTTTTTATTTTCGTGCGCCTTTTGGCGTCATCTGGTCTAACACCATTTAGGACTTGGCTCTAAGAAAAGCTGTCTCGGGTGTGAACCAATCAATTTCAAGGACAGTGCATACATTATCAGAGTTGTGTTTTTTGTTTGCATTCGACCGCAGGTATTGTGGTCAATGCAAACATGGCTCCTTGTAAAAAATAGGTATCAGTTTTGTTACCAGATAAAAGGGTAAAAAGCCAATCATATTTTGCTACTGGCAAAAGGAGGTTCCAATGGTGTAACAGGATCTTGTTAACAGCATTACAAGGTATTTTGCAGATGGTCCTGTCACAAACAGATGCGGGCCTTCACAAGCCATTACTGTTTGCGTTTCTCATGGACATTGCTAACTTCTGCAACCTGCTTCCAGTCTGAGAGATGTCAATGGGTATTGGGGGGAGAGAGAGAAAAAAAACCGCGGTTTTTAAATCCTTTATATTAAGTTCGCTTGCTTGCTTGCTTGCGCGCTTACGACCATGCAAATCTTTCGGTCGTTTTTTAACCCACTTCCCGTGATCCAATCGAGCTGACATTTTGCACACGGACTCGTTGTGCGTGACAATTTATTTTCGTGAACATTTTTTTCCAAAATTTTCCACTTTTTATAAAAAAAAAATTCATATTTAATTTCAAATACCAATGTGATAAAAATGAAACTCTTACTCAAGAAAAACAGAAATGAATAATAAAATAAAACCGATGCCACGCATATAAAGGATTTATAGTGAAAAACTTTATTTTTACGGGTTAATTTTTTACCGCTCACGACGTATTTAATGTACCGAATGTCAGGACGACAATTTCCTGAATAGTTGACGGTTTAAAGTTAAAAGAGGAACGTGAAGCCTAAAAACGCCAGGATGAAGCCGCTTTTCTGCATGAGCAGGCAAGGGGGCCGACGCTTAGTTATTGGCAAATGCGCACTGTGCACGGGCTCAGAACGAAAACACTTATTGTGTTGTTTGAGAAACACGCCGTTCAAGCCTCGCCCGAGATTGACTTCCGTTTACTCAGAAAAGAAAAATAGCGGCGTGTTCTAGACGTACGGAATTCTGTGCCGCGTGTGTTTAAGCGGCACTTGAAGCC